TGCTAAGCATTTCCTCGAGGTCTGTCCTACTTTGATGGTCTTAAGAAACAATAAAAATATTGATTTTGAAAATCCCTTTTTATGCTATAAGATTTCGCAATTATGTAATCTTGATGAATTTATTGCGGTGAGCAGTGAGCAGTGGGAATCAGTTATGATATTTGCATATTGCCATACTATTGGTAATTTTAATAATTTTGTTTCTTGTTACCAATGTTTGTGTTGTATTCGCTTTTTGTTTTGTCTTTAGTGATCTCTTGTCTAAATTTGTATTGTTTCTTTTCTTCACTTTTATGCTTATAATTATTATTTACACAGATTTCTATTTAGATATTTATTTTCATTTTTTCATTTGTTGAAATGGGCATGGCCTGTCATGACCATAAGACCAACTTATTTGGTTAGGCGGGTTGGGCTGCGCCCGCTACTGATACCTTATAAACTAAAAATTTACAAAATGAAAATTAAGGGGTCATAAGAGTAATAAAATCCCATGTGACTCATAAAAAATAATAAAACCCCATGTGACTCATAAAAATAATAAAACTCCATGTGCGTAATCAAGGAAGACAAAAGCAAGTCAGTAGGGATTAAAAACATTTCTAGTGTCTTCATTATTTTCTAGTGTCTTCATATCGGTTAAGATTAAAAACTACTGTCCATTTGAAGCTAAGCTTAATCTCTTACCCTTGTTGAACTGATATAAATTATTTTCTCTTAGACTGTGTTCTACACCTTTAGCATTTCACCAGCTCACCAGTAGCCTAATTTATTAGACAACTGCTTGTTTCGCTTTGGGTTGGACTCCCTGAAAGGGAAAAGGTCATCCTCATAAGCGTTATTGTGCTTTCTTCCCTAAAAATAGCTAGTGACCTCCGTGGTATAATGTAATATTAATTCAGTTTCTATCAGAAAGTGTTACACCATAGTATCCCTGGGCAGAAAACCTTTGAGGCAAATATTTAATAAGCTTCCAACTAAAATTAAAACAGCCTGTCATTCCCAGGTGTTGCTGCGGCCCAGCAACTGAAAAGCAGTATAATCGTTGAAAAGTAGCTCGACCTGGCTACAAATCCCAGAAGAGAGGGTGACCAATGAAAAGTTTCGTTGTTTTCTCCATGTTTTCCCTTAAGAAGTCCTTCACAAAGGCATTTCTCGACTTCGACAGATAGTCCATGAGTGTTTTGTCATATTCAAGTAACCTAACCTAGCATTCTGTTTGCTGCAGACGATTCGCGCCAAACACCTTTCATCTCTTTTGTTCACCATTATTTACCGACTAGAATTTTATTGATTACCTGAAACTATTTTGCTCACCTGGCACTTTCAAAGTCCCCGAGATACTGTTGCTCACGTAAAGTATAAAACATTGCCATTTCAGAGATGCTGAAACCGAATCCTTTATAACACTCGATCGTGAATCTTTCAAAGTCACTCTAATCTAGAAAGGGGTGTTTATAGGTATACAGTGTCTGTGCGGCAGGGAGGCGCACTTAAAACTGCCGACAAGCCAAAAATCCTCTAAAGTGGCTTAGTGGTGGAGAAGAGAGGTAAGAGACTCTCCGAGCTTTCTTCCATCGAACCAAGTTTGGGATATCTCCAATCAAGTTTGGGACGGAATTTCCCTATTCATGTGGATGTAAAACTGAATCGTCTTCTGTGATGCATCTCGGGCAACCTTCGCGTTGATGAGACGGCTAAATAACCGAAGTTTTTTGGCCGCCCTTCTGTACCTCCCAAAATTAAACATAGGCGTTCATTATGTATGAACATTTATACATGTGAGCTTAAATCAGCTTGGTGCATATGTGTCGTGCTGTTGTATTCTCCATATAAGCACTCTTTTCCAAATTAAGGCGAATTTAAAAAGTAATAGAGATAGATTCCAAACGTAATAAAAAGTGCATCCCTTTAGGACAATATTGTAAAAAAGGACAAATAAAGTTGAACATCTTTCAGCTTAATATGTTGTAGCACTACCTGACCACTTATTTCCGTGAATATAAATCCCCTGAGCTTTTTGTTCAGCAGTTGAGAGCTGTAAAAGTAATCTGTGCAACACTTATGAGTTTTTGTTTCTCGTAAAAGTTATAAGTTGCCATAAAATCGCTTTATAAATACTACGCAACAAGATAAAGAAAATACTCCTTCGTCAAAATGCAGTACATTGTGGCTGTTATCACTCTAGATTGGTAGATGCGTCTGTGTGGATTGCAGTGACTTGGTTGATTATGGCAAAACACGCAGAGCGAGGGCTGTCTCCTTAGAAAGAGGAATGCCATCGTGAAAGACTTTCTAACAGAAATATAGATAGGTACATACATAGGTATATACATAGGTAAGCTATAAAAGATCCATGCATCTAATATTATTCTTAACCGCCGAGGATCGAAAGCGTGGCGAATTATTCAGGGCTTGTTTTTAGGCTTTTGCTACAGGGCCCTCTAGTGAACTAGTTCAATATCAATACCAGATTGGAAAAATTGGAACAAAAAAGAAAAAGTCACTTAAAAACTTTAGTACGAAATGACCACAGTATTGGTAGATTCAGACTAACAGACCGCTTTGAGTTCTGCAAGAAAATGAAAAGTAAGGGGCAGTTCAGTAACTGTTTGTTCCCTGGTGAACTATAAATAGCAGACCAGTTGCCTAAAGTAATTCGGAACGACGAAATGGTCTCGTTGACACCAAGTAAATGAACGATATTTACACAGCGCCGACAAAATGAGAGATTGAAACCCTACGGCTGTATCCAGAGCGTAAAGCAACTTACTGCCACGATCTGGGACTGCGTCACTACTTTTATAGCAGGTAGACCGCATACCGTTAGAGATAAAATGAAGACTCTTCAATATATCCCTGGTAGAGATTGCTTCCCTCACTTATTCACACATTTGGAAAGACCGATTTCATCTTCCAGGAAAGCAATTCGGTCTTATCCTGCGTAAGTCAAAAACAGAAATGTTCATATCTAAGTTGGTATAAAGATTAAAGTAGTCTGTACAATCACCGTACCCGAACACGAAAGAAAACATTTAGCTAAATGAGTGCACAGAATCCAAGAGATGAAGTACAATTAATTGAAGCTGTAATTATATGCTACCAATACCATCAATTAATGAGCACCAGGAGCTTTGAATGGTAAGACTTGTAAATGTTACTTAGCAAATAAAAATAGGATTTCTCTACTTCATGTTAATTACCTATTTCTTTTCGAACATACCAAACGTTCATTAACTATACGTAAATAAAAGTTATAATGAGCTTCAGACTTCTTATTACTATTGAATCGAGCAGTTATTTATAATTTGTAAAAAACTGAAAAACAGTTTTTGTTATTTTTTAGTTCTTTATACCTTTTCATTTGTAAAACATCTAGAACAATGCTGGTACTTTAAAACTATAAAAAAGTTCTAAGCTCTTTTTTGTAAAATAGTACTCAAAATATGCAACAAATCACAAACAACTGATAGTAAAATAAATTTGAAAAAACTGCTGATTTATTACCGAAGATTTTTGCAATGGTAACTGAATTACAAATAGTGATAGACTAGCATGTCAATGCAAACATGATTTTGTTGCGGTCTAGTCTAGTTTCTTCGCTTAAGAGCGAAGACCTCTGCGAAGTAAAAAAATAATTCTCGATTTCGACCAGGAAACGAAATCTCGGTTTGGGGATTACAATGTATATTACTGTTAATGAAAACGTTTTCTTCTTTTTAATTTCCAATTCTCAACAACTCTACTGCAACCTAACTATTTAAAACCTAACTTTTAATACTTACATCGAGGTTTTTGGAGACTCCCTAGAACCAATTGCGGTATAAATAAAACAGTAATAGGTTATTTTCAATAAAAATGATTTTATTATAGAGGGAGAAAAACGCGTGTAATTTTGCGAACCTAGCAATATTTTTAAGAACTAGTAAACTTATCTTTGAATAAATGGCGCATGTTGTACATCATTTTTGAAAGAAGAAATCAATTCAATGGGTTTTATTTAAAGATGTTACACAGCATTTTAATAAATTGTGTACGTACATGAGTTTTACTTTTCTAAGGATTGCTTTATATAGCACATACAGAAATCAAGGTAGTTTTCTATATGTAACTTAATTTTGCGTCTTTGGTTAAAATGCAGTTATGATTTCTTCCCTTAATGTTCTTGTTGAAAGGGAAAAAAAATCTGAATGTTATTATAACAAAATGCACTTATAAATTTTTCTTCAAAAAACATTCCAGTTTTCTTTCTATGCTTCCTAACACTTAATATTTAGCCTACTTTAGTGGTGTTTCGCTATATTTTTTGCAGTAACACAAGAGGATAAAAATGCATAACATATTTTAAATGCCTTATTAAATTTTGCGCTGGGACAAAATTACTTTCGGAGATTTAATTTCAAAATTTTAATCTAACATTTCGTCATCTTGTCACAAGCTGCATACAAGCCCCTTGCTTAAAATATTTCTTTTGCTCTCAGAATTACTTTAGAAAAGCCTTATTTACTTTTATTAAATTAATATACAGTTTAGCGTATGTTTATCATTTCCTTTATTCATATATATATATGCATCCCTTAAATTTAAAACATAGGCCACTTAATTTACTGAAATGTGCTATTTTTACATCTGTATTTTTAATGTATTAATAAATCGCTAGATGATTGTTTCAAATGTGTACTCTTTTGTATTGCGTATGTAGCCACATCTGCACTAAAATTAGATTTACTCAAGACAAATTTTACTCAAATATTGAGATGCTTTAATTTGAAATTCAAAACCCAGGCCTCAAATTTCTTTCTCGATTGAACACGCAGATGTTTGCTTTCTTTTCCAGTTTCGTATGTAAATGTCAATTTTTGGTTATTTCCCGAGTTCAAAAAGTATAGTTTATTAAAATCATTTATCTAATTTGGATAAGTTTTATAGAAAGTTTTGGCTAGCATAAAATAATATTATTTCGAATATAATGATAGAAAAACACATAAAAGTTCACTTACTGTACAACAAACTGGTTGTCCTCCTCCAAAGCCAGTGAAATGGCAGAACCTCTAATGTCGATAACCCCAAGGGGGTCTTTGGACCGGGCATCACCTTCGCTTTTATAGTACAGAAGTCTGCATTTGTTTTCATCCAATACGAACCACATACGTTTTCGGCCCTTTAGACGACTGAGCGCTGGAAAAGAAAAATTATTTTAGAACACATTATTTCGAAAAACAAAACATAATTCTTTTACAGCCCTCCCCAAAGAATGAAAGAAATGCTTATATATTGTGTTTGGAAGACATACATATGTTACGCTGAAACACCGAAATCTGGAGAATGTCGACTTTTACCGGTGAAAGTCAACATTCACATAGTCTCTTGGTGTATGTCCGAAATATTTTCCAAATACTCTTATTTCTGACTTACCCGGTCATATCACATTCACCATTACTAATGGTGAATGAACATAACATATTATTTTCTCCGTAATTCAGCGGAAAAACGCACTTAAAATAAGAACTTAAGAACATGAACCCTAAAACCAATACATTCAAAATGCGAAAGGAAAATAATGGAAGTTAAAACTTACTTAATTATACAGTACGATTCAACGAGAAATAAAATCCAGTATAAAAAACTTACTAATTATTATTCAACTTATTATTGCACAACTTAACTATTTTGGCACTTTATCCCTCTCTTTTCGACTTCACCAGAGCATACTGTGATTCGACATACACCGGTGAGGGTCCGAATGTACAAGAAGGAACAATAGTCGGGGATTCGGTCTTTCACCGACGTATTTGGTGAATGTTGATATTCTCCGGTGAAAGTCGACATTCTCCAATTTCGGTCTTTCACGGTAACACATATATGTTTAGGCAGTCTCTTGCAGAGAAGAACACTTCTTCATACTATATCAAGTTACATATACAGTTTTTCAGAGAAAACCCTGAAAAAAGTTATTAATATTTTTTCCTGGTAGGAGAAGATACGTGATTTAGTAAAGAAGAAATATCATACAATTAAAGTGCTAATATTTTTTGCTAAGTGTTACGTATTAAAAGTAATTAGTTTCGTTCTTATTAATCATTTTTCCACTCGCACTAACCAATGCAGAAGGCTGACGGCTGTTTGAAAAGGCACATTAAAAGTAGATCTACGACTCAGTCTGAATGTCAGTCACATAAGTTTACTGTTGTGAATTATAAGTTACTGCTAAGAGTAGTGTTTAAAATACTGATTTAGGACGAAGACACTAACCTCGTATTTAACAAAAGTTAATGGATGTTTCGCAATTATTGTACGAACAGAGAAGTAAAATACATATGCTCTGTATGCATCTGATTTTATTATTTTCAGGTAGATATAATTAAATTTAAGCAGACTTAAGCTATTACATATAAATTCAACCATATGCGAATATAAATGTATTATTGCTGCTACCTAATAAAAATAACACAAAAATAATTTTTCTAAAAGAATCATAATTTGATTAAAGCAAAATAATTTTAACAAAAACGTTATGTGAGTTAAGATAAAAAATATATTAAAAACGAACCATGTAGTTGTTACCAGATATACTAATTACCAACCGGGATAGTGGTTAGTGATACTAACTGCCGTACCAAAGGGCAGGGGTTCGAATCGCGGAGAAGGCATGGATGTTTGTAAATGTATAGTGCGACATGAGGACACTCTAATTATGCGGAAAGCCGAAAGTCCTCTCGAAAGTTTAGTGGTAGGGAAAGAGGGGTGGGAGAACCTCGGACCCTTTCTCCAGGGGTGCTCTCCTTCAAAATTGGGGATGGAACTGAGCGAAGTCGTATTGTCACCTGGATGGTGCCCAAGGATCTTCCCAACGACAGGCACAATCTTGCCTCCTTGCCACGATGAATTGATGAATTTTGTGGACTTACTCTGATATCAGAAAAGCGAGATTAGTCACAACAGCATATAGATGGTAGCGTAAAAACTTATATGCCACTTTTAAATGATAACTGGTATTGTTCAAATTACAAAATAAATTTTTAAAACTATTTCTCTTATAAGGAATTACGGTAAACTGAAATAACTGATTCCACAGTAAGAAAGAGAATTGTTTCTCTATATTATAGCAGAAAAAATATGATCGGGAAATTCTCAGCAATATACAGTTAATTTCAAACTCAAGTTTTCTGGATCTTTAGCCTTTTTAGAAAGAAGAAAACAATGCATTACTTTTCAGTCAAATATAAATTCAAGGTAAATAATCATCATCAGTATATAACAAAAATCATCAGTCTACAGGATGATTCAGAACGCATGGCTTAAACCAAAGAACTTCTAAGGAATCCATCAACAATAATACATACTTGGCAACGTCAAGGGAGATTTTATTGACTTAGACTTTATGTGACTGGGAGTTTATTTTTTTTTGGAAGCTATTTTGATGCTATAAACAGTACTAAATACAATGTAATTAAGAATTAGAATGAAAAGAGAATTTTCTTTTCGAGTTTTATTTCTTGAGCCTGTGCTTTAACGCGCCACTTTCATCCATACATTCCTATGCAAAAACTGCTTGCACTCTTTCTCTTCTTAAACTTTTTTTCCATTACTTTTGAATCACCCTGTATAAATAAATCGTCCAACTTCCTTCTTACATTTAAAAGACGCTAAACACTGGTAGTTCGGTCCGAGCTTCGAATCTCACGAACGGGCTGACTGCATGGGCGGTTTCGTGGTTTTCCCCATGTGTAACGTGTATACGAGCAAGTTTCCCTTAGAAGGTCCTCCACGAAGACATTCCTCCCTTTAGGCAGATAACCCTCGTGTGCTTTGCCCTTATTGAATAATACCAATCCCAATCCCCTTCTCACATTTCGAAAGTTACGATAAATTTCATTATTTTGCTTTATTAATAAGTTTCTTATGATTTTCTCTAAAAGTTGGAAAATCCTCATTTTGTAAAGAAATGAGAAAAAATGTGACTATAAAATTGTAGATAAGAAGTATAGATATATCATTTCCTTAAACTAGAGAAATAAAGCTAGAGTTACAAAAATATCCAATAAAAAAGTATATCAATCAGTTTGGTGGATTAAAATTTATTTAGTTAAAGTACTCAGCAGTTTTCTACCCAAACGCCAGTTTTGACCGAGTGCACCTTGGAGGTTGGAATCCAAGGCTGCCGTAAAAATCGTTCCCTACTACCAACATATTGAGACATTATAGAGTTAATCAAGAATATTTGTTATCAGTCTAAAAAGATAAAAAACGAGCCATCAGTCCAAGAAAGATGAAAAATATATGCTAGTACATATGATTCGAATTATAATTTTAGAAACAACTCTTAAGTTTTTTTATCTTTCAATCACAAATTTATTTATATATTTTTTAACATTTTTAAACACTATTATTAAAGAAATAATAAAAAATAATTAAATAAAGTTAATTATTATGCCTGGATTATACCTTCTGTTACCAGTAAACTGAAGTCCGATATGTGTAATTAACAAATAAAGAGTTTATAGTAATTAAACAAGAGTTTAAAATACCATAACCTTTTCGTCCGTTGAAAGGAATATAATCTTAACACATAAAATAAATTTTAAGACAAATTATAGAAAAACAAACGGAAGCTATAACTTGTTAAAGCATATATATGTCAAAATATGCTTAATGTTTTAAGAAAATTTTGAAGTGTAGTTTATGGGAGATTGCTGAAAGCACACGTCCCTTCAAAAAGAGGTGAAATAAGTTTATGACAATAAATACATTTTCACATTTAAGCCAAAAGTAATTTTCTTTGATATGAAAGTTATGTAGCAAAAAATATTACTTACCAAAATTATTTACATTTCAGCATACTTTTCGTATAAAATGTACTAATGATCAGTTAACATTTTTAAACTAATTACAGACACTACAGAAGCTTCAATGCAATAGAGCAGGATATATCAATCTGTGATCCATGGATATAAAAGTGGTTCTCGAAGCCTGTCCTTGAGTCCCCCCCCCCAATTTTTTAAAAATTTACTGCGCATACCAAAGTATAGTTGAAAATCTCAGAGTCTGGAAAATACACATGAAAAATGTTTATCATTTTTTCTTCCAAGTGAAGCATTTTATAAAATTTAGCTTTAGCAATAGAACAGAGATTTAAAGCACTATGACCGTGGTGCAGCTTACCAGCATATATTCAAACATAAAACAGCTATGCGAGAATCAGCAAGTTCATCTATCTCATTAATGTGAGTACCGAAATTTACCTAACTTTTAGTTAATAAGATAAATATTATCCAACGCTAATACCCATGAACTATTAAAAACAAATATAATTTTTTTCTATCAACTTGTTGATTTAATACCAATACAAATGAATTCTGATGACCTGTATGTTTTTTTTAAAATACAAGTCTATTGGTGGTAGCATACGCTAAAAACATTATTTTTGCAAAGAACAAGAGTAAGGTAGTTTGTAGAATATTTTAAGTGATAAAAGGACGCTTGGAAAAACTTTGAAACCCCACTTGAAAAACATTTGAGAAGCACTGTAGTAGAGATTTAGAGAACAATATTAAGTGTTTACTGCTGCATCATTTTGTACTAGCTCTTTAATACGAAGAATATAAAATTCTCAATGAAGCATTTAAACCTCAAACAGTTAAAAATAAGAAAAGGGAAATATAAAAACAGATAAGTGTTGGAGAAAAAGGGAAAAAAATCTGGTTATGATATTACCTGAACATTTATTACAACACTCGAAAGAAACTGCTTTTTCAGAATTCAGATTAAACGGTTTAGCAGACAAAACATCGACAACTTACATATCTAGCAAAAAATTTCTCAGCCAAGCATTACCCGCTGCAGCGGACAAAACATTGTTGTCCTCAAGGTCTTCTGACAATTTTTTCTGGTTCTTTATTTGTTGGGGCAAATTAAATGTGTCATTTGAGCAGAAGAAACCGAAGCTATGTCAACATGTTTACGATGTATATCGATCGAGGGTTAGAACGGCAGGGACACTGAAGAATACGTAGTTATACTTTTGTGCAGAAGAGAGCGCTTTAAATTTTTCTGAACAAATTCTTAGAAATGCAACAACCAACCATACTGAATGAAATTCTGAGTGATTTTCATTTTGTTAGAGACCTTTCAGAAATATAACTTTTTCGACTTTACTTTCGTAAGGACTTTTCTTTTAT